ACTACTACTACTACTACTACTACTACTACTGCTACTACTACTACTACTACTACTACTACTACTACTACTACTCTACTACTACTACTACCACCACTACTACTACTACTACTACTACTACTACTACTACTCAAAGGCCAACAGCCCCATCTTCAAACATGAATACAGCCCAGATCAGTTACCTTAAACCCAAAAGCCCCCAAGGACACTTCGCACAATCTGCTGGCCGATATTCAGTCCTGCAGCATGCAGGCTTCCAGTCGCTTCAAGACCGAAGTCGGGGTTGGCTGTGGAAGGGCCCTTGATTCGGGGGTTGATTATAGGGAGATTTATATGGGATATCCCTGTCCTAATGTATGCTTCTGTGTTGATTTTGGGGCCCTGTTGATGGTAATCAAAGCAGAGCTCCCTAGTCTTATCAGGGCTTACTACGGCTTTGTAGCTTCGTGCGCGGGGTTTTATGATCAGAAAAGGGGCTTGGGGTTATCGTACTATGTCTGCAAAAGGATGATAAGAAACCACTACTGGTAACGATTCAGACTAGGGCATCAGTTTGGTGCATGTCGCAACTGGAAACAAGGGTTTAGGGCTGGGAAAGGTGTGGTTCGCAGCTGCCGTGTGTTCGGCATTGATGGTGGTCGTCGTCATTGTTGGGTTGTGAATGCTGCTGTTGCTGCTACTGAAGCAGAAGCTTTTGTGCCTACCCTAGAGCTTAGAACCGTAAGCCCTGAACCCTAAACCCAAAGCCTTAAACCCTAAACCCTACTTTGATAAGTTTTGATAGCCAAGTGCACCAAGAAGATGCAAAAGCCTCAGCCTCCAGAAGCCTTCGGAATCTTCACCCTGCAAGCTTAAGTATGGGAGCCTTTTGATTAGAATGGGGGGTTGGGACCCATTATACCATACTTATCATAAGGAATTATGTCGGCCCCGGTATTAAGTATAAGGGCCCCTCTAAAGTTGGAGCTGTGGATGGAGCCCCTAATTATTGTATACTATACCCCAAGATCCTATTCTAATCACCCAGGCCCTTGTCTTAACGCCTCAACCCTAAGCCCAAAACCCCTACACCCCACACACCCCTAAACCCTAAACCCCATGTGCCCCCATAACGCCTGAACCTCGGCTCTTAGATGCAGTTCGACTGTTCCTGGCAGACCGGGCAATGGACACTGTGGACGCCGGTCACTTCAGCAAACACGCCGGTTGGAAGATATGGTCACTCCGCGGTGGCTTGGTCGAAGCACATGTGAGAAAGCCTGAGATGCCAGAGACAGTAGACCTGCTACTGAGGGCACATAGACAGGATCTGCTCACGCGGGTTTTGGGACCCTGACGCTCTGAATCTTACATCCCCGTACATCCTGAACCCCAAACCCTGAACCTTAAACGCCTAAGCTGTAGCTAGTGCCTCAAGGTCGTCAAGGTACAACCAGCTTTGAAAACTTGGTGCTATTGCCGTGGCATTTACTCATGGCTGTTGTGTGCTGGTCCTAGCTTAGTCGGGCTTCTGACAGGACTCGGTGTTCATATCGAATTAGTTGTGCTACAAGCAAGATTGTCATTTTAAGGGGTGTTTCGGATGCAGAGCCTTGAACCCTCAACCCTACTGAAAGCTTCTACAGGGGTTACAGTTGAAACTGGTAGCGGTAGCCCCACACAACAAAGCACCTGCAACAAGCAGCAAGCACGTTTTGCTGCAAACTTTTGTTCCTCGTCATTGCGGAACGCAGCAGTCGAAGCCTGTGCGGTGAGCTTCTGCAAACTTCAGGCTTGCGCCAGGTCAAAACTACTTCTCCTCTTTCTGGAAGAGTGCGTCCGTCTGGCGCATATTCTCGCTCTCCTTCGAGTTAAACCCTAAACCAAAACTTCAATTTTGGCAAGCATTTTCGAGCTGTAGCTTTTGCACTCGCTCTCATGATCGGTGCGTCATCACCTGAGGTGTATGCAGGCTCCAACAGGTGACATGGCTTGTCTTGGAGTTTGGGGTTTACGGGTTAAGGGTGGCGTTTTAGGTTTTTGGAAGCTGAAAGTCTACTCGTCTTGGGGCCAGAATCTGACACTGAATGTCTAGGGTGAGGTGTTACCTGCGCTGCATTCGTCTATAAGCTGCAGGGTCCGGGTTGGCATGGTGCGGCTTTTGCTGCGGGAAATGTCATCCGCACTTGTCTGGCTATCCTGCACATGCCCTTGAGCCTTTGTCGGGCCTGTCCGTTCGCAATTATGCTTTCGGGTCCGCTTTGCAATGCATCATTGGAAGAATGCCTCTGGCGGTGGTGGTGGTGATGACGACACTGATGCTGCTTTGCAGAACCTCATCGATGCGATCTCCCAGTAGAGGAGAAATTTGGATTTGCGGCATCTTCTCAAGTTCGGCAAAGATGCAAACCTGGGAAAAGTGAAGCCTAGGAAGACAGAGGAAGTACCGATACACACACACATGTGTATATCTATATCTGTGCCCATCTCCATAATCCATAAGCATGTCTATATCCGTTTGTATATCTTTATCTGCATCTATATGTATATCTACACCTATATCTATATCTATATCTGTATCTAAATCTAGATCTAGGGCTATATCTACATCTATATCTATATCTATGTCTATCTCTATCTCTAGGTCGGCATCGTTTTCGTGTATCTACATCTATATCTAGATCTCAATCTGTATATAGATATGGGGTAAGCATCTCTACGCACACATCCATCCATCTATCTGTATATCTATCCGTCTGTCTGCCTGTCTGTCTGTCTGTCTGTCTGTCTGCCTGCCTGTCTGTCTGTCTGTTTGTGCGTTTGCCTTGGACACAGAGAGATCGGCAACAAGCTACCCTGACCCTGCTAAAACGCGGGGCAGGATCATGAAGCCTAAACCCGAGCCCTGGAACCCATAACCCGGTCGAGGGTTCCGGGTTTGGGGGTTTTGGGTTTAGGCCGTTTGCCCTACACCCCAAAACGTATAGCCAGAACCCTAAAGCATCTACCCCACGCCCGAAAGCCTAAACCTTAAAGCATATACCCTGATCCTGAAAACATACAGCCTAAATCCTAAACTTTCCCTAAGCCCTAAGCCCCAAAAGCTCCAAGTCCCTGAACCCTGGACGCCCTCACAC